GTCACTGGGCCGACATCCTTGGTGAAGCGGCCGACCGAGAACAGGTTTCTGGATAACTTTGGGATGTGCCACGCGTTTGTGAGCACACCTTTCTTCATCCCCTTGGGGTGTCTTCATCGACATGACAATGTCCCCACTGCCGATTGCTTGGACGATTCCATCATCCGCGAGATGGACATCCACAGCGTCAAACCCCTTGTAGTTCCGCATGAACTTCTTGGAGCACGTCATGTGCTGCGTCGCCCCGGAGTCGACCAGCCAGATGTCGCTCGATTTCGCAGATGTCGTTTCACCGATCGAAAAGAGGTAGTCGCCCGAGTCTTCTTCTTGAGCGACGTTTGCACGTTGTGATCGATAGCGGTCGCCGCTGTCTTGAGCACGCTGTGGCCGGTGTCTCTCTCCGTGTTTTCTTGGATGCGCGAGGGGCACTCCCGCCATCCAGTGACCAATCTTTCCGCAATTGTGGCACGGCCAGGACTTCTTCACTGGTCGCCCTTTGCGCTGATTGTCCCTTGTGATGAACGCTTGACCTTGCGAAGCTTCATCACCTTTGCTTCCCTTGCTCCTTCCGCTTCATTTCTTCATGAAGCAGTCGAGACGTCACGAGCTCCCAGCTAAGAGTGTCTGAGAGCGCGACTCCAAAGCTGTGATCAAGAATTGATACGAGTCACTCAGGCTGCCGAGGAGTGTGATCGCGAGATCGTCCTCGCAGACTGGAGCCCCCACCGCTTCTAGCTGTTCCGCCAGCGTCTTGAGCTTGTTGATGTGTTCGAGCACATCATCGCGCTTCTTCCATCATTGTCGTGAAGAAGCGACGGCGCAAGTAACAGCTTGTTGGCAAGACTCTTCTTCTCGAAGTGGTCTTCCAACCTTGACGCATCCGTCGCATGCACCACTTGCCGACCGGACCAACGGTAGCTGGGAATCTTCCATGGCTAGACAGATCACTGCCATCGCCTTTCTTGACTTCCTCTTGTACGTCGCTTGGTCCAACTGAGTCTCGCACTGTTCCGCCTTGATCTCACCGCTGACGACCTCCCATAGGTCCCGTTCCTCCAGCACCATCTGCATCTTGAACTTCCAGGCGTGGAAGTTAGTTCCATCGAACTTGGAGATGCGGAGGGAGGAGGCGTCCATGGCAGCTAAGCTTGAATTGTTGGCGGTTTCAGAGTCTGACGAACTTGGGCTCATAACCTGATGAACTTTAGACTTCTTGGTCCGAGTGCAAAACGCAAAGTGAATATATATTTATAATAGGTACTTAGTTCGCAACTTTGAATACTACCTCTAAGCCTATTATTCGCAGTGACGTCATCCAGTGACGTCACCCACTGACGTCACCCACTGACGTCATGCAATGACGTCATCCAGTGACGTCATTTCCTGACTTCGCCCTTACTGGTACATACCGGTACCCACTGGTATAGCGAAGCTTGGTCTTCCACTTGCTTCAACACTTGACGCAGCTTGACGAGGTGTCTTCTTCACAGCCGCTGTCTTTTCAACAGTATCTTGACTTGTCATCAATGAATGTCACGAAGTACCGTTTTCCACTGAAAGTTGCCATCGACATCGGTCCGCATACGTCGCTGTGAATCACTTCGAGGAGTTTGGAGGTGCGAGCTGTAGTGTTTGATTGGAAGCGCACTCGAGTCTGTTTTCCCAGAGCACAACCTTCACACACGTCCCACTTCTTCACCGAAGATATGTCGATGCCAATTCCAATGTTCTTCGTCACGATGCAATTGAGTCCATCGTGACCTATGTGGCCAAGCCGAAGGTGCCAGAGGTACGACTTGGTGCCCCCTTGACATCCCGACGACTTGGCTGCATTTGATTGTTCCGGCGCCACTGGAGTCATTTGCAGCTTGAACAGTCCTTTAACTTCACGGGCACCAATTTTCCACTTGGTCCCTTTCGCTTCTCCATAGCACCCATCCTTCGTGAACGTCACTGGGCCGACATCCTTGGTGAAGCGGCCGACCGAGAACAGGTTTCTGGATAACTTTGGGATGTGCCACACGTTTGTGAGCACACCTTTCTTCATCCCTTGGGGTGTCTTCATCGACATGACAATGTCCCCACTGCCGATTGCTTGGACGATTCCATCATCCGCGAGATGGACATCCACAGCGTCAAACCCCTTGTAGTTCCGCATGAACTTCTTGGAGCACGTCATGTGCTGCGTCGCCCCGGAGTCGACCAGCCAGATGTCGCTCGATTTCGCAGATGTCGTTTCACCGATCGAAAAGAGGTAGTCGCCCGAGTCTTCTTCTTGAGCGACGTTTGCACGTTGTGATCGATAGCGGTCGCCGCTGTCTTGAGCACGCTGTGGCCGGTGTCTCTCCGTGTTTTCTTGGATGCGCGAGGGGCACTCCGCCATCCAGTGACCAATCTTTCCGCAATTGTGGCACGGCCAGGACTTCTTCACTGGTCGCCCTTTGCGCTGATTGTCCCTTGTGATGAACGCTTGACCTTGCGAAGCTTCATCACCTTTACTTCCTTGCTCCTTCCGCTTCATTTCTTCATGAAGCAGTCGAGACGTCACGAGCTCCCAGCTAAGAGTGTCTGAGCGCGACTCCAAAGCTGTGATCAAGAATTGATACGAGTCACTCAGGCTGCCGAGGAGTGTGATCACCAGATCGTCCTCGCAGACTGGAGCCCCCCACCGCTTCTAGCTGTTCCGCCAGCGTCTTGAGCTTGTTGATGTGTTCGAGCACATCGTCGCCTTCTTCCATCATTGTCGTGAAGAAGCGACGGCGCAAGAACAGCTTGTTGGCAAGACTCTTCTTCTCGAAGTGGTCTTCCAACCTTGACCATGCGTCGCATGCACCACTTGCCGACCGGACCAACGGTAGCTGGGAATCTTCCATGGCTAGACAGATCACTGCCATCGCCTTTCTTGACTTCCTCTTGTACGTCGCTTGGTCCAACTGAGTCTCGCACTGTTCCGCCTTGATCTCACCGCTGACGACCTCCCATAGGTCCCGTTCCTCCAGCACCATCTGCATCTTGAACTTCCAGGCGTGGAAGTTAGTTCCATCGAGCTTGGAGATGCGGAGGGAGGAGGCGTTCATGGCAGCTAAGCTTGAATTGTTGGCGGTTTCAGAGTCTGACGAACTTGGGCTCATAACCTGATGAACTTTAGACTTCTTGGTCCGAGTGCAAAACGCAAAGTGAATATATATTTATAATAGGTACTTAGTTCGCAACTTTGAATACTACCTCTAAGCCTATTATTCGCAGTGACGTCATCCAGTGACGTCACCCACTGACGTCACCCACTGACGTCATGCAATGACGTCATCCAGTGACGTCATTTCCTGACTTCGCCCTTACTGGTACATACCGGTACCCACTGGTATAGCGAAGCTTGGTCTTCCACTTGCTTCAACACTTGACGCAGCTTGACGAGGTGTCTTCTTCACAGCCGCTGTCTTTTCAACATGCATGACGTTCGCGCCTTCAGCCATCTTGATACTGAAAAGTTGTCGCTTGAGGTAGATGCGTCCTGCCTTCTGCGACCCACCGTACAGCGTCTTCAGACTTGTCCACGCAACCCAGGCTTCCTCGCAGTTGTCCAGCACATGATGGTAGTCCGCGTTCATGTGCAGCAGCATCATACCAAACGCGACGTTGCTTGCCTTGACGTAGTCATCGGACGCTCGCGGTTCGGTGAAAGTCGGAGTCACTTCACGGTTGACAACGTGCCAGACGGACTTCGTCAAAAACACACCGCGCATGTACCGGCTCCACGTTGCGTAATTGTCTCCGTTGAACTTGTCAATGGAGGCGTTGCTGGTGGACGACATGGCGCTTGGGCTCATAACCTGTTGCATTGTAGATCGGAGCGAGGAAAGCGGAGCAAACGGGGCGGAGAGACCGAAGAGAGTAGAGCAGAAAACACTTGCCCAATAGTTGGAAGATTCGAAAGTTGTTGACGGTCATCGGTTTTCTACCAGTATTGGTAACCGTGACCGATCCAATCCGAACCGCCTGTTCAGCTTAGTATTTACGACGTAGTTCTTACGGTAATTACCATGGTTGATTAGACGCGTAGGATGATGAGACGCTTCACATGATTTATATGTACACCACATATAAATCATGTAGTAAGTAGTAAGCCCCGATAATCAATCACTTTCGAATCTTCCAACTATTGGGCAAGTGTTTTCTGCTCTACTCTCTTCGGTCTCTCCGCTCCGTTTGCTCCGCTTTCCTCGCTCCCGATCTACAATGCAACAGGTTATGAGCCCAAGCGCCATGTCGTCCACCAGCAACGCCTCCATTGACAAGTTCAACGGAGACAATTACGCAACGTGGAGCCGGTACATGCGCGGTGTGTTTGACGAAGTCCGTCTGGCACGTTGTCAACCGTGAAGTGACCCGACTTTCACCGACCCGCGAGCGTCCGATGACTACGTCAAGGCAAGCAACGTCGCGTTTGGTATGATGCTGCTGCACATGAACGCGGACTACCATCATGTGCTGGACAACTGCGAGGAAGCCTGGGTTGCGTGGACAAGTCTGAAGACGCTGTACGGTGGGGCGCAGAAGGCAGAGCACGCATCTACCTCAAGCGACAACTTTCAGTATCAAGTATGGCTGAAAGCGCGGAACGTCATGCATCACTGCAACGAAGGTCCTCAACATCTCCGCCAAGCTTAGCGGCATCGGTGCGAAGATGGAAGACGAAGACGTTGCAATTTGTCTGCTACTCAGTCTTCCGAAGAGCTACGAAAATGTGGTGCTCAACATGGAAATGAGCAGCACCGAGCTTCGCACTCAAGATGTGGTGAGAGTCCTGACGAATGAGCATGCCAAGCGTCAAGGAGAAAAAGGGACAACGACAGCGACTACGGTGAAGGCTGAAGATGCAAGCAAGGCATTCAGCGCCGAGCGTGAGCCCTACCAATGCACGTATTGTGGCAAGGTGGGACACACGGTGGATCGTTGCTGGACAAAGCAGAAGAACGAAGGTCGGGGAGCCCGACGCGGCGGCAATGGTCGTGGACGCGGGGCTAACAATGTCCAGTGGGGACATCATGATGAAGGCAATGGCTACGATCGAGTGGCGTTTGCAGTCTCGTTCGAATGTGGAGTTTCGACGAGCATGGACGTGTCTGGAATGTGGGCCGTCGACAGTGGTGCAACGCACCACATTTGCCACGACAAGACCAAGTTCGCAAGTTTGGCAGAGCGCAATGAGGGCGAACTCTTGGTGGCTGATTGATGAACTTTAGACTTCTTGGTCCGAGTGCAAAACGCAAAGTAAATATATATTTATAATAGGTACTTAGTTCGCAACTTTGAATACTACCTCTAAGCCTATTATTCGCAGTGACGTCATCCAGTGACGTCATTTCCTGACTTCGCCCTTACTGGTACATACCGGTACCCACCGGTATAGCGAAGCTTGGTCTTCCACTTGCTTCAACACTTGACGCAGCTTGACGAGGTGTCTTCTTCACAGCCGCTGTCTTTTCAACACTCCCTCTCGACTCGTTAGCTGCGGCACCTTGATCCCAAGTCGATCGCGAATGTTTTCAAATTGTACAGCGGCGATCGGCTTGGTCATCATGTCTGCCAGCATATCTTGAGTCGGGCAATACTCCAAAACGACTTCACCTGATTCCACCTTCTCACGCACAAAATGGTAGCGTATGTCGATGTGTTTTGTTCTCTTATGGAACTCCGGGTTCTTGGCGAGAGCGATTGATCCTTGGTTGTCTTCATACATCTTGATCGCTTCGTCGCTTGTCATCTCACCAAGTTCCCCCAAAAGCACTTTGAGCCATACTGCTTCTTTGGTTGCTTCGGAAAGCGCCATGTATTCTGCTTCTGTTGAAGATAGCGCGACCGTCCGTTGTTTCTGTCTTTTCCAGCTGATGCATCCTCCGCTCATCATGAACACATAGCCGCTTGTACTTCGTCTTGACTCAATGTCGCCGGCCCAGTCTGCGTCGGTGTACCCGCAGATACGGCTTCCTTCTTCACGTGTAAACTCAAGACCATGATTGGGCGTTGCTTGCAGGTATCTCAGCACACGCTTCAAAGCTTGCCAGTGAGTCGGGCATGGGTCGGACGAGAACTGGGATAATGATCCCACTGCAGCAGCTAGATCCGGACGTGTGGCGACCATGAGATACATGATGCCTCCGACAGCACTTCGATATGGCACGTTGCACATGGTGTCTTCGTGCTTGCATTCTTGTTCACACATGTTCTTGGTTAGCTTCAGGCCGGGATCTTGAGGCGTCTTCACTGGCTTGCTGTTATCCATTCCGAACTTGGTTAACACGGACTTGAGAAACTTGGTTTGTTGTACAGTCACCATTCCCGTCTTACGGTCGTTCTTGATCTCCATGCCGAGAAAGTAATCGAGCTCACCGAGATCCGTCATTTCGAAGCGTTTGCTCAGCGCCATCTTGGTTGACTTGAGGAGTTCGTTGTTGCTGCTGGCCAGGATGAGATCATCGACGTAGAGCACCACGAGAATCATGTCTTGGTCGTCTCGCTTGATGTAGATGCAGTGGTCCGATTCGCACTTCTTGAATCCCATCTTGATCATGAACCCATCGATTGTTTGGTTCCACATGCGAGGCGATTGCTTCAAGCCGTAGAGTGATCTCTTTAGCTTGCACACATAGTCCGGCTGTGTTGCATCCAGGTATCCGTCCGGCTGGTCCATGTAGATGTCTTCGTTGAGGGAGCCGTTAAGAAACGCTGTCTTGACGTCCATCTGATGTAGCATTAGGCCGTACTTAGCCGCCATACTGAGCACCACACGAATCGATGTGAACTTGGCCACCGGTGCGAAAGTTTCTTCATAGTCAACTCCGAATTTCTGTGAGAATCCTTTGGCCACAAGTCTTGCCTTGAAACGTTCAACTTCGCCATCTTGATTCTCCTTTACACGAAAAACCCATCGGCACCCGATGGCCTTGCGACCTTTCGGAAGAGGCACGATTTCCCACGTGTCGTTTCTCTGAAGCGAATCGAACTCCGAGTCACACGCTTCTTTCCACTTGCCGGAGTCGCTTGATTCCATCGCCGACTTGAATGTAGTCGGCGTTTCCCCCACTGAATCAACGATGTAGGCTGCTTCAAAATCCATTGCAGCCGCTGACACATGCTCAAGCGACGGACCTCTGTATGTTCTTCGCTTGGGACTTGGAATGACGGTAGCTTTCTCAAGTGATTGAGTGCGCGTGTGTCTCTTGATGTTGCTCTTCGAAGACCTGGTGTCTTCGTTGTCATCGTCGCTCGAGTCCATGTCGTCGTCAGTTTTACCTTCTTCTTTTTCTTCGTCCTCATCATGATCATCAAACTCAACGACACTTGACTCATCGTTGTAGTTGCGCGGACCTTCATCAAACTTGTCTTCCATTGTTGACGGTCATCGGTTTCTACCAGTATTGGTAACCGTGACCGGTCCAATCCGAACCGCCTGTTCAGCTTAGTATTTACGACGTAGTTCTTACGGTAATTACCATGGTTGATTAGACGCGTAGGATGATGAGACGCTTCACATGATTTATATGTGCACCACATATAAATCATGTAGTAAGTAGTAAGCCCCGATAATCAATCACTTTCCAATCTTCCATCTACCCCAAGTGTCTTCTCCGGTCTTCCGAGTGGACTCTCAGCATCCCTCCCAGTTTCGGTCGTCAAGCTCTTCATCAATCAACAGGTTATGAGCCCAAGCACGATGTCCTCTGCCCATGATGCCACCACCAAGATCTCCATCGACAAGTTCGACGGCGACAACTACGCGACGTGGAGCCGCTACATGCGTGGCGTGTTCCTGACCAAGTCGGCGTGGCACGTGGTGAACCGAGAGACCACCCCCACCTTCGCCGATCCTCGCGCCAGTGACGACTACGTCAAGACGAACAACATTGCGTTCGGCTTGATGCTGCTGCACATGAGCGCAGATTATCATCACGTGGTTGATGACTGTGAAGAGGCGTGGGTCGCGTGGGCGCGTTTGAAGACGCTGTACGGCGGGTCGCAGAAGGCTGGACGCATCTACTTGAAGCGCCAGCTGTTCAGCATGGAGATGGCGGAAGGCGGCAATGTGATGCATCATTGCAACGAAGTCCTCAACATCAGCGCGAAGCTCAGCAGCATCGGCGCCAAGATGGAGGACGAGGACGTGGCGATCTGCTTGTTGCGCAGCCTCCCCAAGAGCTACGAGAACGTCGTTCTCAACTTGGAGATGAGCAGCGCGGAACTGCGATCGCGAGACGTCGTGAGAGTGCTCACGAATGAGCACATCAAGAGGCAAGGTGACAAGACGACATCGGTGAAGACTGAAGACGCGGCGAAGGCGTTCAGTACCGAGCGTGAACCTCGCCAGTGTACATACTGCGGAAAATTGGGGCACACGGCGGAGCGGTGCTGGACCAAGCAGAAGGACGAGAATCAAGGTGGAGCTCGACGCGGCGGCAACAATGCTCGTGGACGCGGAGCCAACAACGTTCAGTGGCGAACCAACAGCAACTACGACGACAACTGCGATCGAGTTGCGTTCGCGGTTTCGCTGGAGGCCGGACTTTCGACGGGCAAGAATATGCCAGGGATGTGGGCAGTCGACAGCGGTGCGACGCATCACATCTGCAACGACAAGGCCAAGTTTGCAAGCCTGAATGAGCGAGAGGAAGGCGAACTATCAGTGGCTGATGGCAGCAAGGCTGCGATCAAGGGTGTGGGAACCATCATGGAACGGGTGGTTCTGCCTAATGGTGACGAACGCGACATCGAGATCAAGGACGCGCTGTTCGTACCAAGCATGAGCAAGAATCTGCTTTCGGTGCCACAGATCAACAAGGGTGGGAGGTTCCAAGTTGTTGAAAAGACAGCGGCTGTGAAGAAGACACCTCGTCAAGCTGCGTCAAGTGTTGAAGCAAGTGGAAGACCAAGCTTCGCTATACCGGTGGGTACCGGTATGTACCAGTAAGGGCGAAGTCAGGAAATGACGTCACTGGATGACGTCATTGCATGACGTCAGTGGGTGACGTCAGTGCGAATAATAGGCTTAGAGGTAGTATTCAAAGTTGCGAACTAAGTACCTATTATAAATATATATTCACTTTGCGTTTTGCACTCGGACCAAGAAGTCTAAAGTTCATCAGGTTATGAGCCCAAGTTCGTCAGACTCTGAAACCGCCAACAATTCAAGCTTAGCTGCCATGGACGCTTCCTCCCTCCGCATCTCCAAGTTCGATGGAACTAACTTCCACGCCTGGAAGTTCAAGATGCAGATGGTGCTGGAGGAACGGGACCTATGGGAGGTCGTCAGCGGTGAGATCAAGGCGGAACAGTGCGAGACTCAGTTGGACCAAGCGACGTACAAGAGGAAGTCAAGAAAGGCGATGGCAGTGATCTGTCTAGCCATGGAAGATTCCCAGCTACCGTTGGTCCGGTCGGCAAGTGGTGCATGCGACGCATGGTCAAGGTTGGAAGACCACTTCGAGAAGAAGAGTCTTGCCAACAAGCTGTTCTTGCGCCGTCGCTTCTTCACGACAATGATGGAAGAAGGCGACGATGTGCTCGAACACATCAACAAGCTCAAGACGCTGGCGGAACAGCTAGAAGCGGTGGGGGCTCCAGTCTGCGAGGACGATCTGGTGATCACACTCCTCGGCAGCCTGAGTGACTCGTATCAATTCTTGATCACAGCTTTGGAGTCGCGCTCAGACACTCTTAGCTGGGAGCTCGTGACGTCTCGACTGCTTCATGAAGAAATGAAGCGGAAGGAGCAAGGAAGTAAAGGTGATGAAGCTTCGCAAGGTCAAGCGTTCATCACAAGGGACAATCAGCGCAAAGGGCGACCAGTGAAGAAGTCCTGGCCGTGCCACAATTGCGGAAAGATTGGTCACTGGATGGCGGAGTGCCCCTCGCGCATCCAAGAAAACACGGAGAGACACCGGCCACAGCGTGCTCAAGACAGCGGCGACCGCTATCGATCACAACGTGCAAACGTCGCTCAAGAAGAAGACTCGGGCGACTACCTCTTTTCGATCGGTGAAACGACATCTGCGAAATCGAGCGACATCTGGCTGGTCGACTCCGGGGCGACGCAGCACATGACGTGCTCCAAGAAGTTCATGCGGAACTACAAGGGGTTTGACGCTGTGGATGTCCATCTCGCGGATGACGGAATCGTCCAAGCAATCGGCAGTGGGGACATTGTCATGTCGATGAAGACACCCCAAGGGATGAAGAAAGGTGTGCTCACAAACGTGTGGCACATCCCAAAGTTATCCAGAAACCTGTTCTCGGTCGGCCGCTTCACCAAGGATGTCGGCCCAGTGACGTTCACGAAGGATGGGTGCTATGGAGAAGCGAAAGGGACCAAGTGGAAAATTGGTGCCCGTGAAGGTAAAGGACTGTTCAAGCTGCAAATGACTCCAGTGGCGCCGGAACAAGCAAATGCAGCCAAGTCGTCGGGATGTCAAGGGGGCACCAAGTCGTACCTCTGGCACCTTCGGCTTGGCCACATAGGTCACGATGGACTCAATTGCATCGTGACGAAGAACATTGGAATTGGCATCGACATATCTTCGGTGAAGAAGTGGGACGTGTGTGAAGGTTGTGCTCTGGGAAAACAGACTCGAGTGCGCTTCCAATCAAACACTACAGCTCGCACCTCCAAACTCCTCGAAGTGATTCACAGCGACGTATGCGGACCGATGTCGATGGCAACTTTCAGTGGAAAACGGTACTTCGTGACATTCATTGATGACAAGTCAAGATACTGTGTCGTCTATCTGCTCAAGAGCAAATCTGAAGTTGCGGCGAAGTTCATGGAATACGCTGCGATGGCCGAAACGCAAACCGGAAAGCGCGTGAAGTACCTTCAAAGCGACAATGGGGGTGAATACAAGTCCGACAAGCTGGCACGATTCTGCGCGGAACGGGGAATACAACAAAGGTTCACACCCCCATATACTCCTCAGCTAAACGGAGTAGCTGAGAGAATGAATCGCACGCTGGTCGAGTGTGCGCGTTGCATGATGGAACACGCTGGACTGGGAAAGAGCTACTGGGGTGAAGCAGTGATGACGGCGATGTTTCTTCGAAACCGCTGTCCAACACGTGCCATTCACCAAGACAAGTCTCCATATCAAGTGTGGACGATGAAGAAACCGATTCTGGCCAACCTTAAAGTTTTTGGATGCCACGCGTATGTTCAAGTGCCTCAAGACAAACGCGCGAAGTTCGACTCCAAGTCATCACTCTGTCGTTTCCTGGGATACGCCGAACACCAGAAGTCATATCGATTTGAGGAAGTGTCAACAGGAGCGATCAAGATCAGTCGCGATGCTACATTCATGGAAGACAAGTTTGATGAAGGTCCGCGCAACTACAACGATGAGTCAAGTGTCGTTGAGTTTGATGATCATGATGAGGACGAAGAAAAAGAAGAAGGTAAAACTGACGACGACATGGACTCGAGCGACGATGACAACGAAGACACCAGGTCTTCGAAGAGCAACATCAAGAGACACACGCGCACTCAATCACTTGAGAAAGCTACCGTCATTCCAAGTCCCAAGCGAAGAACATACAGAGGTCCGTCGCTTGAGCATGTGTCAGCGGCTGCAATGGATTTTGAAGCAGCCTACATCGTTGATTCAGTGGGGGAAACGCCGACTACATTCAAGTCGGCGATGGAATCAAGCGACTCCGGCAAGTGGAAAGAAGCGTGTGACTCGGAGTTCGATTCGCTTCAGAGAAACGACACGTGGGAAATCGTGCCTCTTCCGAAAGGTCGCAAGGCCATCGGGTGCCGATGGGTTTTTCGTGTAAAGGAGAATCAAGATGGCGAAGTTGAACGTTTCAAGGCAAGACTTGTGGCCAAAGGATTCTCACAGGAATTCGGAGTTGACTATGAAGAAACTTTCGCACCGGTGGCCAAGTTCACATCGATTCGTGTGGTGCTCAGTATGGCGGCTAAGTACGGCCTAATGCTACATCAGATGGACGTCAAGACAGCGTTTCTTAACGGCTCCCTCAACGAAGACATCTACATGGACCAGCCGGACGGATACCTGGATGCAACACAGCCGGACTATGTGTGCAAGCTGAAGAGATCACTCTACGGCTTGAAGCAATCGCCTCGCATGTGGAACCAAACAATCGATGGGTTCATGATCAAGATGGGATTCAAGAAGTGCGAATCGGACCACTGCATCTACATCAAGCGAGACGACCAAGACATGATTCTCGTGGTGCTCTACGTCGATGATCTCATCCTGGCCAGCAGCAACAACGAACTCCTCAAGTCAACCAAGATGGCGCTGAGCAAACGCTTCGAAATGACGGATCTCGGTGAGCTCGATTACTTTCTCGGCATGGAGATCAAGAACGACCGTAAGACGGGAATGGTGACCGTACAACAAACCAAGTTTCTCAAGTCCGTGTTAACCAAGTTCGGAATGGATAACAGCAAGCCAGTGAAGACGCCTCAAGATCCCGGCCTGAAGCTAACCAAGAACATGTGTGAACAAGAATGCAAGCACGAAGACACCATGTGCAACGTGCCATATCGAAGTGCTGTCGGAGGCATCATGTATCTCATGGTCGCCACACGTCCGGATCTAGCTGCTGCAGTGGGATCATTATCCCAGTTCTCGTCCGACCCATGCCCGACTCACTGGCAAGCTTTGAAGCGTGTGCTGAGATACCTGCAAGCAACGCCCAATCATGGTCTTGAGTTTACACGTGAAGAAGGAAGCCGTATCTGCGGGTACACCGACGCAGACTGGGCCGGCGACATTGAGTCAAGACGAAGTACAAGCGGCTATGTGTTCATGATGAGCGGAGGATGCATCAGCTGGAAAAGCCAGAAACAACGGACGGTCGCGCTATCTTCAACAGAAGCAGAATACATGGCGCTTTCCGAAGCAACCAAAGAAGCAGTATGGCTCAAAGTGCTTTTGGGGGAACTTGGTGAGATGACAAGCGACGAAGCGATCAAGATGTATGAAGACAACCAAGGATCAATCGCTCTCGCCAAGAACCCGGAGTTCCATAAGAGAACAAAACACATCGACATACGCTACCATTTTGTGCGTGAGAAGGTGGAATCAGGTGAAGTCGTTTTGGAGTATTGCCCGACTCAAGATATGCTGGCAGACATGATGACCAAGCCGATCGCCGCTGTACAATTTGAAAACATTCGCGATCGACTTGGGATCCAAGGTGCCGCAGCTAACGAGTCGAGAGGGAGTGTTGAAAAGACAGCGGCTGTGAAGAAGACACCTCGTCAAGCTGCGTCAAGTGTTGAAGCAAGTGGAAGACCAAGCTTCGCTATACCGGTGGGTACCGGTATGTACCAGTAAGGGCGAAGTCAGGAAATGACGTCACTGGATGACGTCATTGCATGACGTCAGTGGGTGACGTCAGTGCGAATAATAGGCTTAGAGGTAGTATTCAAAGTTGCGAACTAAGTACCTATTATAAATATATATTCACTTTGCGTTTTGCACTCGGACCAAGAAGTCTAAAGTTCATCACAAGTCGTGTTCGATGGATCCAAGATGCAAGTGAAGCGCAAGAATTCCACACAAGTCGTGGCAACAGCGGATCTCGTCGATGGACTTTACTGGCTGCGGACTCCTCAACGATCGGCAAATGCAGCAACACGCAATGGGACCATCGACTTGCATGCGCGCATGGGTCATGCACCCCTCGAAGTTCTGCGCAAGATGGTGGCCACTGGCATGATCAAGGACGCCAAGGCACCTCTCAACTCGACTGGTCCAAGTGTGTGTCGCGGTTGCCAGCAAGGAAAGATGGTCCAAAAAACAATTCCCAACCAACCGTGACAAACGCCAATATGGTATGTTCGAGTTGCTGCACTTCGACATCTGCGGGCCAATGGAACAAGTCTCGATCGGCGGCAGCAAATACTTACTGCTTGTGGTTGACGAAGCTAGCGGTTGCATGAAGGGCTTCTGTCTGCGGTCCAAGTCTGAGAGTGAAGACTGTATCAAGAACCACATCATCAAGATTCAAACACAGTTCGGCACGAAGATCAAGTTTGTTCGGCACGATGGAGCGCATGAATTTGCGACCAACTCGATCAAGACCTTCTACGAAGATCATGGTATCGAACAACAGATCACGGTGCCGTATGCACACCAGACCAACGGCACCGCAGAACGCGCGATAAGGACCATCGTCACGATCGGACGCAGCTTGTTGCATCATGCAAAGCTGGAGAAGTGTTTCTGGGCTGAAGCGGCAATGACGGCGATCTACATCAAGAACCTGATGAACTTTAGACTTCTTGGTCCGAGTGCAAAACGCAAAGTGAATATATATTTATAATAGGTACTTAGTTCGCAACTTTGAATACTACCTCTAAGCCTATTATTCGCAGTGACGTCATCCAGTGACGTCACCCACTGACGTCACCCACTGACGTCATGCAATGACGTCATCCAGTGACGTCATTTCCTGACTTCGCCCTTACTGGTACATACCGGTACCCACCGGTATAGCGAAGCTTGGTCTTCCACTTGCTTCAACACTTGACGCAGCTTGACGAGGTGTCTTCTTCACAGCCGCTGTCTTTTCAACACTCCCTCTCGACTCGTTAGCTGCGGCACCTTGGATCCCAAGTCGATCGCGAATGTTTTCAAATTGTACAGCGGCGATCGGCTTGGTCATCATGTCTGCCAGCATATCTTGAGTCGGGCAATACTCCAAAACGACTTCACCTGATTCCACCTTCTCACGCACAAAATGGTAGCGTATGTCGATGTGTTTTGTTCTCTTATGGAACTCCGGGTTCTTGGCGAGAGCGATTGATCCTTGGTTGTCTTCATACATCTTGATCGCTTCGTCGCTTGTCATCTCACCAAGTTCCCCCAAAAGCACTTTGAGCCATACTGCTTCTTTGGTTGCTTCGGAAAGCGCCATGTATTCTGCTTCTGTTGAAGATAGCGCGACCGTCCGTTGTTTCTGGCTTTTCCAGCTGATGCATCCTCCGCTCATCATGAACACATAGCCGCTTGTACTTCGTCTTGACTCAATGTCGCCGGCCCAGTCTGCGTCGGTGTACCCGCAGATACGGCTTCCTTCTTCACGTGTAAACTCAAGACCATGATTGGGCGTTGCTTGCAGGTATCTCAGCACACGCTTCAAAGCTTGCCAGTGAGTCGGGCATGGGTCGGACGAGAACTGGGATAATGATCCCACTGCAGCAGCTAGATCCGGACGTGTGGCGACCATGAGATACATGATGCCTCCGACAGCACTTCGATATGGCACGTTGCACATGGTGTCTTCGTGCTTGCATTCTTGTTCACACATGTTCTTGGTTAGCTTCAGGCCGGGATCTTGAGGCGTCTTCACTGGCTTGCTGTTATCCATTCCGAACTTGGTTAACACGGACTTGAGAAACTTGGTTTGTTGTACAGTCACCATTCCCGTCTTACGGTCGTTCTTGATCTCCATGCCGAGAAAGTAATCGAGCTCACCGAGATCCGTCATTTCGAAGCGTTTGCTCAGCGCCATCTTGGTTGACTTGAGGAGTTCGTTGTTGCTGCTGGCCAGGATGAGATCATCGACGTAGAGCACCACGAGAATCATGTCTTGGTCGTCTCGCTTGATGTAGATGCAGTGGTCCGATTCGCACTTCTTGAATCCCATCTTGATCATGAACCCATCGATTGTTTGGTTCCACATGCGAGGCGATTGCTTCAAGCCGTAGAGTGATCTCTTTAGCTTGCACACATAGTCCGGCTGTGTTGCATCCAGGTATCCGTCCGGCTGGTCCATGTAGATGTCTTCGTTGAGGGAGCCGTTAAGAAACGCTGTCTTGACGTCCATCTGATGTAGCATTAGGCCGTACTTAGCCGCCATACTGAGCACCACACGAATCGATGTGAACTTGGCCACCGGTGCGAAAGTTTCTTCATAGTCAACTCCGAATTCCTGTGAGAATCCTTTGGCCACAAGTCTTGCCTTGAAACGTTCAACTTCGCCATCTTGATTCTCCTTTACACGAAAAACCCATCGGCACCCGATGGCCTTGCGACCTTTCGGAAGAGGCACGATTTCCCACGTGTCGTTTCTCTGAAGCGAATCGAACTCCGAGTCACACGCTTCTTTCCACTTGCCGGAGTCGCTTGATTCCATCGCCGACTTGAATGTAGTCGGCGTTTCCCACTGAATCAACGATGTAGGCTGCTTCAAAATCCATTGCAGCCGCTGACACATGCTCAAGCGACGGACCTCTGTATGTTCTTCGCTTGGGACTTGGAATGACGGTAGCTTTCTCAAGTGATTGAGTGCGCGTGTGTCTCTTGATGTTGCTCTTCGAAGACCTGGTGTCTTCGTTGTCATCGTCGCTCGAGTCCATGTCGTCGTCAGTTTTACCTTCTTCTTTTTCTTCGTCCTCATCATGATCATCAAACTCAACGACACTTGACTCATCGTTGTAGTTGCGCGGACCTTCATCAAACTTGTCTTCCATGAATGTGGCATCGCGACTGATCTTGATCGCTCCTGTTGACACTTCCTCAAATCGATATGACTTCTGGTGTTCGGCGTATCCCAGGAAACGACAGAGTGATGACTTGGAGTCGAACTTCGCGCGTTTGTCTTGAGGCACTTGAACATACGCGTGGCATCCAAACACTTTAAGGTTGGCCAGAATCGGTTTCTTCATCGTCCACACTTGATATGGAGACTTGTCTTGGTGAATGGCACGTGTTGGACAGCGGTTTCGAAGAAACATCGCCGTCATCACTGCTTCACCCCAGTAGCTCTTTCCCAGTCCAGCGTGTTCCATCATGCAACGCGCACACTCGACCAGCGTGCGATTCATTCTCTCAGCTACTCCGTTTAGCTGAGGAGTATATGGGGGTGTGAACCTTTGTTGTATTCCCCGTTCCGCGCAGAATCGTGCCAGCTTGTCGGACTTGTATTCACCCCCATTGTCGCTTTGAAGGTACTTCACGCGCTTTCCGGTTTGCGTTTCGGCCATCGCAGCGTATTCCATGAACTTCGCCGCAACTTCAGATTTGCTCTTGAGCAGATAGACGACACAGTATCTTGACTTGTCATCAATGAATGTCACGAAGTACCGTTTTCCACTGAAAGTTGCCATCGACATCGGTCCGCATACGTCGCTGTGAATCACTTCGAGGAGTTTGGAGGTGCGAGCTGTAGTGTTTGATTGGAAGCGCACTCGAGTCTGTTTTCCCAGAGCACAACCTTCACACACGTCCCACTTCTTCACCGAAGATATGTCGATGCCAATTCCAATGTTCTTCGTCACGATGCAATTGAGTCCATCGTGACCTATGTGGCCAAGCCGAAGGTGCCAGAGGTACGACTTGGTGCCCCCTTGACATCCCGACGACTTGGCTGCATTTGCTTGTTCCGGCGCCACTGGAGTCATTTGCAGCTTGAACAGTCCTTTACCTTCACGGGCACCAATTTTCCACTTGGTCCCTTTCGCTTCTCCATAGCACCCATCCTTCGTGAACGTCACTGGGCCGACATCCTTGGTGAAGCGGCCGACCGAGAACAGGTTTCTGGATAACTTTGGGATGTGCCACACGTTTGTGAGCACACCTTTCTTCATCCCTTGGGGTGTCTTCATCGACATGACAATGTCCCCACTGCCGATTGCTTGACGATTCCATCATCCGCGAGATGGACATCCACAGCGTCAAACCCCTTGTAGTTCCGCATGAACTTCTTGGAGCACGTCATGTGCTGCGTCGCCCCGGAGTCGACCAGCCAGATGTCGCTCGATTTCGCAGATGTCGTTTCACCGATCGAAAAGAGGTAGTCGCCCGAGTCTTCTTCTTGAGCGACGTTTGCACGTTGTGATCGATAGCGGTCGCCGCTGTCTTGAGCACGCTGTGGCCGGTGTCTCTCCGTGTTTTCTTGGATGCGCGAGGGGCACTCCGCCATCCAGTGACCAATCTTTCCGCAATTGTGGCACGGCCAGGACTTCTTCACTGGTCGCCCTTTGCGCTGATTGTCCCTTGTGATGAACGCTTGACCTTGCGAAGCTTCATCACCTTTACTTCCTTGCTCCTTCCGCTTCATTTCTTCATGAAGCAGTCGAGACGTCACGAGCTCCCCAGCTAAGAGTGTCTGAGCGCGACTCCAAAGCTGTGATCAAGAATTGATACGAGTCACTCAGGCTGCCGAGGAGTGTGATCACCAGATCGTCCTCGCAGACTGGAGCCCCCACCGCTTCTAGCTGTTCCGCCAGCGTCTTGAGCTTGTTGATGTGTTCGAGCACATCGTCGCCTTCTTCCATCATTGTCGTGAAGAAGCGACGGCGCAAGAACAGCTTGTTGGCAAGACTCTTCTTCTCGAAGTGGTCTTCCAACCTTGACCATGCGTCGCATGCACCACTTGCCGACCGGACCAACGGTAGCTGGGAATCTTCCATGGCTAGACAGATCACTGCCATCGCCTTTCTTGACTTCCTCTTGTACGTCGCTTGGTCCAACTGAGTCTCGCACTGTTCCGCCTTGATCTCACCGCTGACGACCTCCCATAGGTCCCGTTCCTCCAGCACCATCTGCATCTTGAACTTCCAGGCGTGGAAGTTAGTTCCATCGAACTTGGAGATGCGGAGGGAGGAGGCGTCCATGGCAGCTAAGCTTGAATTGTTGGCGGTTTCAGAGTCTGACGAACTTGGGCTCATAACCTGATGAACTTTAGACTTCTTGGTCCGAGTGCAAAACGCAAAGTGAATATATATTTATAATAGGTACTTAGTTCGCAACTTTGAATACTACCTCTAAGCCTATTATTCGCAGTGACGTCACCCACTGACGTCACCCACTGACGTCACCCACTGACGTCATTTCCTGACTTCGCCCTTACTGGTACATACCGGTACCCACCGGTATAGCGAAGCTTGGTCTTCCACTTGCTTCAACACTTGACGCAGCTTGACGAGGTGTCTTCTTCACAGCCGCTGTCTTTTCAACACTCCCTCTCGACTCGTTAGCTGCGGCACCTTGGATCCCAAGTCGATCGCGAATGTTTTCAAATTGTACAGCGGCGATCGGCTTGGTCATCATGTCTGCCAGCATATCTTGAGTCGGGCAATACTCCAAAACGACTTCACCTGATTCCACCTTCTCACGCACAAAATGGTAGCGTATGTCGATGTGTTTTGTTCTCTTATGGAACTCCGGGTTCTTGGCGAGAGCGATTGATCCTTGGTTGTCTTCATACATCTTGATCGCTTCGTCGCTTGTCATCTCACCAAGTTCCCCCAAAAGCACTTTGAGCCATACTGCTTCTTTGGTTGCTTCGGAAAGCGCCATGTATTCTGCTTCTGTTGAAGATAGCGCGACCGTCCGTTGTTTCTGGCTTTTCCAGCTGATGCATCCTCCGCTCATCATGAACACATAGCCGCTTGTACTTCGTCTTGACTCAATGTCGCCGGCCCAGTCTGCGTCGGTGTACCCGCAGATGCGGCTTCCTTCTTCACGTGTAAACTCAAGACCATGATTGGGCGTTGCTTGCAGGTATCTCAGCACACGCTTCAAAGCTTGCCAGTGAGTCGGGCATGGGTCGGACGAGAACTGGGATAATGATCCCACTGCAGCAGCTAGATCCGGACGTGTGGCGACCATGAGATACATGATGCCTCCGACAGCACTTCGATATGGCACGTTGCACATGGTGTCTTCGTGCTTGCATTCTTGTTCACACATGTTCTTGGTTAGCTTCAGGCCGGGATCTTGAGGCGTCTTCACTGGCTTGCTGTTATCCATTCCGAACTTGGTTAACACGGACTTGAGAAACTTGGTTTGTTGTACGGTCACCATTCCCGTCTTACGGTCGTTCTTGATCTCCATGCCGAGAAAGTAATCGAGCCTCACCGAGATCCGTCATTTCGAAGCGTTTGCTCAGCGCCATCTTGGTTGACTTGAGGAGTTCGTTGTTGCTGCTGGCCAGGATGAGATCATCGACGTAGAGCACCACGAGAATCATGTCTTGGTCGTCTCGCTTGATGTAGATGCAGTGGTCCGATTCGCACTTCTTGAATCCCATCTTGATCATGAACCCATCGATTGTTTGGTTCCACATGCGAGGCGATTGCTTCAAGCCGTAGAGTGATCTCTTTAGCTTGCACACATAGTCCGGCTGTGTTGCATCCAGGTATCCGTCCGGCTGGTCCATGTAGATGTCTTCGTTGAGGGAGCCGTTAAGAAACGCTGTCTTGACGTCCATCTGATGTAGCATTAGGCCGTACTTAGCCGCCATACTGAGCACCACACGAATCGATGTGAACTTGGCCACCGGTGCGAAAGTTTCTTCATAGTCAACTCCGAATTCCTGTGAGAATCCTTTGGCCACAAGTCTTGCCTTGAAACGTTCAACTTCGCCATCTTGATTCTCCTTTACACGAAAAACCCATCGGCACCCGATGGCCTTGCGACCTTTCGGAAGAGGCACGATTTCCCACGTGTCGTTTCTCTGAAGCGAATCGAACTCCGAGTCACACGCTTCTTTCCACTTGCCGGAGTCGCTTGATTCCATCGCCGACTTGAATGTAGTCGGCGTTTCCCCCACTGAATCAACGATGTAGGCTGCTTCAAAATCCATTGCAGCCGCTGACACATGCTCAAGCGACGGACCTCTGTATGTTCTTCGCTTGGGACTTGGAATGACGGTAGCTTTCTCAAGTGATTGAGTGCGCGTGTGTCTCTTGATGTTGCTCTTCGAAGACCTGGTGTCTTCGTTGTCATCGTCGCTCGAGTCCATGTCGTCGTCAGTTTTACCTTCTTCTTTTTCTTCGTCCTCATCATGATCATCAAACTCAACGACACTTGACTCATCGTTGTAGTTGCGCGGACCTTCATCAAACTTGTCTTCCATGAATGTGGCATCGCGACTGATCTTGATCGCTCCTGTTGACACTTCCTCAAATCGATATGACTTCTGGTGTTCGGCGTATCCCAGGAAACGACAGAGTGATGACTTGGAGTCGAACTTCGCGCGTTTGTCTTGAGGCACTTGAACATACGCGTGGCATCCAAACACTTTAAGGTTGGCCAGAATCGGTTTCTTCATCGTCCACACTTGATATGGAGACTTGTCTTGGTGAATGGCACGTGTTGGACAGCGGTTTCGAAGAAACATCGCCGTCATCACTGCTTCACCCCAGTAGCTCTTTCCCAGTCCAGCGTGTTCCATCATGCAACGCGCACACTCGACCAGCGTGCGATTCATTCTCTCAGCTACTCCGTTTAGCTGAGGAGTATATGGGGGTGTGAACCTTTGTTGTATTCCCCGTTCCGCGCAGAATCGTGCCAGCTTGTCGGACTTGTATTCACCCCCATTGTCGCTTTGAAGGTACTTCACGCGCTTTCCGGTTTGCGTTTCGGCCATCGCAGCGTATTCCATGAACTTCGCCGCAACTTCAGATTTGCTCTTGAGCAGATAGACGACACAGTATCTTGACTTGTCATCAATGAATGTCACGAAGTACCGTTTTCCACTGAAAGTTGCCATCGACATCGGTCCGCATACGTCGCTGTGAATCACTTCGAGGAGTTTGGAGGTGCGAGCTGTAGTGTTTGATTGGAAGCGCACTCGAGTCTGTTTTCCCAGAGCACAACCTTCACACACGTCCCACTTCTTCACCGAAGATATGTCGATGCCAATTCCAATGTTCTTCGTCACGATGCAATTGAGTCCATCGTGACCTATGTGGCCAAGCCGAAGGTGCCAGAGGTACGACTTGGTGCCCCCTTGACATCCCGACGACTTGGCTGCATTTGCTTGTTACGGCGCCACTGGAGTCATTTGCAGCTTGAACAGTCCTTTACCTTCACGGGCACCAATTTTCCACTTGGTCCCTTTCGCTTCTCCATAGCACCCATCCTTCGTGAACGTCACTGGGCCGACATCCTTGGTGAAGCGGCCGACCGAGAACAGGTTTCTGGATAACTTTGGGATGTGCCACACGTTTGTGAGCACACCTTTCTTCATCCCTTGGGGTGTCTTCATCGACATGACAATGTCCCCACTGCCGATTGCTTGGACGATTCCATCATCCGCGAGATGGACATCCACAGCGTCAAACCCCTTGTAGTTCCGCATGAACTTCTTGGAGCACGTCATGTGCTGCGTCGCCCCGGAGTCGACCAGCCAGATGTCGCTCGATTTCGCAGATGTCGTTTCACCGATCGAAAAGAGGTAGTCGCCCGAGTCTTCTTCTTGAGCGACGTTTGCACGTTGTGATCGATAGCGGTCGCCGCTGTCTTGAGCACGCTGTGGCCGGTGTCTCTCCGTGTTTTCTTGGATGCGCGAGGGGCACTCCGCCATCCAATGACCAATCTTTCCGCAATTGTGGCACGGCCAGGACTTCTTCACTGGTCGCCCTTTGCGCTGATTGTCCCTTGTGATGAACGCTTGACCTTGCGAAGCTTCATCACCTTTACTTCCTTGCTCCTTCCGCTTCATTTCTTCATGAAGCAGTCGAGACGTCACGAGCTCCCAGCTAAGAGTGTCTGAGCGCGACTCCAAAGCTGTGATCAAGAATTGATACGAGTCACTCAGGCTGCCGAGGAGTGTGATCACCAGATCGTCCTCGCAGACTGGAGCCCCCACCGCTTCTAGCTGTTCCGCCAGCGTCTTGAGCTTGTTGATGTGTTCGAGCACATCGTCGCCTTCTTCCATCATTGTCGTGAAGAAGCGACGGCGCAAGAACAGCTTGTTGGCAAGACTCTTCTTCTCGAAGTGGTCTTCCAACCTTGACCATGCGTCGCATGCACCACTTGCCGACCGGACCAACGGTAGCTGGGAATCTTCCATGGCTAGACAGATCACTGCCATCGCCTTTCTTGACTTCCTCTTGTACGTCGCTTGGTCCAACTGAGTCTCGCACTGTTCCGCCTTGATCTCACCGCTGACGACCTCCCATAGGTCCCGTTCCTCCAGCACCATCTGCATCTTGAACTTCCAGGCGTGGAAGTTAGTTCCATCGAACTTGGAGATGCGGAGGGAGGAGGCGTCCATGGCAGCTAAGCTTGAATTGTTGGCGGTTTCAGAGTCTGACGAACTTGGGCTCATAACCTGATGAACTTTAGACTTCTTGGTCCGAGTGCAAAACGCAAAGTGAATATATATTTATAATAGGTACTTAGTTCGCAACTTTGAATACTACCTCTAAGCCTATTATTCGCAGTGACGTCATCCAGTGACGTCACCCACTGACGTCACCCACTGACGTCATGCAATGACGTCATCCAGTGACGTCATTTCCTGACTTCGCCCTTACTGGTACATACCGGTACCCACCGGTATAGCGAAGCTTGGTCTTCCACTTGCTTCAACACTTGACGCAGCTTGACGAGGTGTCTTCTTCACAGCCGCTGTCTTTTCAACAGAACCGCCTGCCTTCACCCAAGATCGACCACAAGACTCCGTTCGAGATCGTGTACAAGTCGAAACCAAGTGTCAAGCACATGCGCGTGTTTGGATGTCGGGCTTTTATCCTGACACCAAGGGAGAAGCGATTGAAGTGGGACCCGAAGGCTCGTGAAGGGATGTTCATGGGCTACGAAGAAGTGTCAAAAGCTTATCGAGTGTACGACATTGAGGCGGACCAAGTGGTGATCAGTCGTGACATCACCTTCGACGAATCGACTTTTGACTTTTCGATGGACCGACCAAGTGACGATGATGAAGATGCGGAGTTGGATCTCGACCTCCTGGCGATCAACGAGGACGACGTGCGTCAAACTGTCTACAAGCAGACTGGCAAGCGCAAGAGTGAAGCAAGACCCGGCATGTCACGTTCAGCTCGCCCTCGAACTGGATTGGAACAAGCAAGTGCGCCGGCACACGTCTCCAACCGTCACCAGAAACGACGATCAAGTGCTCCAGAAACGATGTCTGATGACGAAGAAGATGCAAGCGTCTACGATCAAGATGACGACTTGACGCCTCCAACATTTTGGCGTGCAAGTGCAAACGCAGTGGAAGCAACGGACCTAGCAGAACCTGTGACTTTTCAAGACGCGATCAATGGTCCTGATCAAGCTCACTGGCGAAATGCTGTGAAGGCGGAACTCAAGTCGATGCATCTTCGTGGAGTTTTCCGTGCGGCAAAACTACCAAGAGGCCAAGGCGCGATCGGCACCAAGTGGGTGTTCAAGATCAAGCGCAAAGCGGATGGATCGGTCGAGAAATACAAGGCGCGTCTCGTTGCCAAGGGCTTCAAGCAGAAGTACGGCATCGACTACACAGAGACGTTCTCGCCCGTGGTCAAGTACGTGACACTGCGTATGGTGATCGCGATCACCAAGTATTTCGACTGGCCACTGGACCAACTCGATGTGGTGACAGCCTTTCTCTACGGAGTGATGAAGGAGAAGGTGTACTGCGTGGTACCAGAAGGCGTCGAGATGGATGGCGACTTCGACTGTCTCGAGTTGGTGAAGGCGATCTACGGTCTCAAGCAAGCTTCACGTGTGTGGAACGAGACTTTCGATGAGTTCGTATGCTCTATCGGTTTTGAAGCGTCGGCGTTCGACCCATGTCTCTACATCAAGGTTGTCGATGGTCACTGTGTGCTCGTGCTGGTCTACGTGGATGACGTGTTGGTCACCGGCAGCTCGCTCGAGTTGATTGCGCAGACGAAGGCCGACCTCAAGACGCGTTTCGAGATGACCGACAGTGGCAAGTGTACTTTTGTACTGGGCATCGAACTGGTGGACGAATCGGATGGCAGCGTGACGATGTGCCAGCGACGGTATGTCAACGACATCCTCAAGCGCTTCGGCATGGATGAGTGCAAGGCCACATCAAGTCCGGTCGACTTGAGCACTCGGCTTGTCGCAAGCACCGAAGCGGCCAAGATCGACGTTCCGTTTCGTGAAGCTGTGGGAGCTTTGATGCACTTGACGACTGCGACGCGCCCGGACATTGCGTATGCTGTGGGGTACGTCTCGCGCTTCATGGAGAATCCGCAGCAAGAACATTGGACGGCGGTGAAGCGCATCTTTCGTTACTTGCAAGGGACCAAGTCGCACGGACTCCGATTCCAGCCAAGCGATAAGATCGACTTTCGTGGCTACTCGGACGCGGACTGGGCCGGCGACCACGCTGATCGCAAGTCGACTTCGGGTTACACTTTCATGCTGATGGGTGCTCCTGTGAGTTGGGGAAGCAAGAAGCAGTCAAGTGTGTCGCTGTCGACGAGTGAAGCGGAATACATCGCACTGAGTCTGGCCATCCAGGAAGGCAAGTGGGTGCATCGCCTGCTATGCGAGATTTTGGCGGCCGCAAACGAACCAGGACCGGACCTCGTCATCCGTGAAGACAACCAGTCGTGCATCAAGATGACGAAGAATCCGGTGAATCATGGCCGCGCCAAGCACATCGACATCAAGTACCATCACATCCGTGATGAGGTCAAGCGCGGTGAAGTGCAGCTCGAGTATTGCGAGACTTCCGTGATGATGGCGGACATCATGACCAAGGGACTTTCGGGACCTCGTCACAAGGACTTGACGACGGCTCTCGGCATTCGTGCGAGTTCGGATTGAGGGGGCGTGTTGACGGTCATCGGTTTCTACCAGTATTGGTAACCGTGACCGGTCCAATCCGAACCGCCTGTTCAGCTTAGTATTTACGACGTAGTTCTTACGGTAATTACCATAGTTGATTAGACGCGTAGGATGATGAGACGCTTCACATGATTTATATGTGCACCACATATAAATCATGTAGTAAGTAGTAAGCCCCGATAATCAATCACTTTCCAATCTTCCATCTACCCCAAGTGTCTTCTCCGGTCTTCCGAGTGGACTCTCAGCATCCCTCCCAGTTTCGGTCGTCAAGCTCTTCATCAATCAAAATCCATGAATGTGGCATCGCGACTGATCTTGATCGCTCCTGTTGACACTTCCTCAAATCGATATGACTTCTGGTGTTCGACGTATCCCAGGAAACGACAGAGTGATGACTTGGAGTCGAACTTCGCGCGTTTGTCTTGAGGCACTTGAACATACGCGTGGCATCCAAACACTTTAAGGTTGGCCAGAATCGGTTTCTTCATCGTCCACACTTGATATGGAGACTTGTCTTGGTGAATGGCACGTGTTGGACAGCGGTTTCGAAGAAACATCGCCGTCATCACTGCTTCACCCCAGTAGCTCTTTCCCAGTCCAGCGTGTTCCATCATGCAACGCGCACACTCGACCAGCGTGCGATTCATTCTCTCAGCTACTCCGTTTAGCTGAGGAGTATATGGGGGTGTGAACCTTTGTTGTATTCCCCGTTCCGCGCAGAATCGTGCCAGCTTGTCGGACTTGTATTCACCCCCATTGTCGCTTTGAAGGTACTTCACGCGCTTTCCGGTTTGCGTTTCGGCCATCGCAGCGTATTCCATGAACTTCGCCGCAACTTCAGATTTGCTCTTGAGCAGATAGACGACACAGTATCTTGACTTGTCATCAATGAATGTCACGAAGTACCGTTTTCCACTGAAAGTTGCCATCGACATCGGTCCGCATACGTCGCTGTGAATCACTTCGAGGAGTTTGGAGGTGCGAGCTGTAGTGTTTGATTGGAAGCGCACTCGAGTCTGTTTTCCCAGAGCACAACCTTCACACACGTCCCACTTCTTCACCGAAGATATGTCGATGCCAATTCCAATGTTCTTCGTCACGATGCAATTGAGTCCATCGTGACCTATGTGGCCAAGCCGAAGGTGCCAGAGGTACGACTTGGTGCCCCCTTGACATCCCGACGACTTGGCTGCATTTGCTTGTTCCGGCGCCACTGGAGTCATTTGCAGCTTGAACAGTCCTTTACCTTCACGGGCACCAATTTTCCACTTGGTCCCTTTCGCTTCTCCATAGCACCCATCCTTCGTGAACGTCACTGGGCCGACATCCTTGATGAAGCAGCCGACCGAGAACAGGTTTCTGGATAACTTTGGGATGTGCCACACGTTTGTGAGCACACCTTTCTTCATCCCTTGGGGTGTCTTCATCGACATGACAATGTCCCCACTGCCGATTGCTTGGACGATTCCATCATCCGCGAGATGGACATCCACAGCGTCAAACCCCTTGTAGTTCCGCATGAACTTCTTGGAGCACGTCATGTGCTGCGTCGCCCCGGAGTCGACCAGCCAGATGTCGCTCGATTTCGCAGATGTCGTTTCACCGATCGAAAAGAGGTAGTCGCCCGAGTCTTCTTCTTGAGCGACGTTTGCACGTTGTGATCGATAGCGGTCGCCGCTGTCTTGAGCACGCTGTGGCCGGTGTCTCTCCGTGTTTTCTTGGATGCGCGAGGGGCACTCCGCCATCCAGTGACCAATCTTTCCGCAATTGTGGCACGGCCAGGACTTCTTCACTGGTCGCCCTTTGCGCTGATTGTCCCTTGTGATGAACGCTTGACCTTGCGAAGCTTCATCACCTTTACTTCCTTGCTCCTTCCGCTTCATTTCTTCATGAAGCAGTCGAGACGTCACGAGCTCCCAGCTAAGAGTGTCTGAGCGCGACTCCAAAGCTGTGATCAAGAATTGATACGAGTCACTCAGGCTGCCGAGAAGTGTGATCACCAGATCGTCCTCGCAGACTGGAGCCCCCACCGCTTCTAGCTGTTCCGCCAGCGTCTTGAGCTTGTTGATGTGTTCGAGCACATCGTCGCCTTCTTCCATCATTGTCGTGAAGAAGCGACGGCGCAAGAACAGCTTGTTGGCAAGACTCTTCTTCTCGAAGTGGTCTTCCAACCTTGACCATGCGTCGCATGCACCACTTGCCGACCGGACCAACGGTAGCTGGGAATCTTCCATGGCTAGACAGATCACTGCCATCGCCTTTCTTGACTTCCTCTTGTACGTCGCTTGGTCCAACTGAGTCTCGCACTGTTCCGCCTTGATGAACTTTAGACTTCTTGGTCCGAGTGCAAAACGCAAAGTGAATATATATTTATAATAGGTACTTAGTTCGCAACTTTGGATACTACCTCTAAGCCTATTATTCGCAGTGACGTCATCCAGTGACGTCACCCACTGACGTCACCCACTGACGTCATGCAATGACGTCATCCAGTGACGTCATTTCCTGACTTCGCCCTTACTGGTACATACCGGTACCCACCGGTATAGCGAAGCTTGGTCTTCCACTTGCTTCAACACTTGACGCAGCTTGACGAGGTGTCTTCTTTGTTGAAAAGACAGCGGCTGTGAAGAAGACACCTCGTCAAGCTGCGTCAAGTGTTGAAGCAAGTGGAAGACCAAGCTTCGCTATACCAGTGGGTACCGGTATGTACCAGTAAGGGCGAAGTCAGGAAATGACGTCACTGGATGACGTCATTGCAATGACGTCAGTGGGTGACGTCAGTGGGTGACGTCACTGGATGACGTCACTGCGAATAATAGGCTTAGAGGTAGTATTCAAAGTTGCGAACTAAGTACCTATTATAAATATATATTCACTTTGCGTTTTGCACTCGGACCAAGAAGTCTAAAGTTCATCAGGTTATGAGCCCAAGTTCGTCAGACTCTGAAACCGCCAACAATTCAAGCTTAGCTGCCATGGACGCCTCCTCCCTCCGCATCTCCAAGTTCGATGGAACTAACTTCCACGCCTGGAAGTTCAAGATGCAGATGGTGCTGGAGGAACGGGACCTATGGGAGGTCGTCAGCGGTGAGATCAAGGCGGAACAGTGCGAGACTCAGTTGGACCAAGCGACGTACAAGAGGAAGTCAAGAAAGGCGATGGCAGTGATCTGTCTAGCCATGGAAGATTCCCAGCTACCGTTGGTCCGGTCGGCAAGTGGTGCATGCGACGCATGGTCAAGGTTGGAAGACCACTTCGAGAAGAAGAGTCTTGCCAACAAGCTGTTCTTGCGCCGTCGCTTCTTCACGACAATGATGGAAGAAGGCGACGATGTGCTCGAACACATCAACAAGCTCAAGACGCTGGCGGAACAGCTAGAAGCGGTGGGGGCTCCAGTCTGCGAGGACGATCTGGTGATCACACTCCTCGGCAGCCTGAGTGACTCGTATCAATTCTGATCACAGCTTTGGAGTCGCGCTCAGACACTCTTAGCTGGGAGCTCGTGACGTCTCGACTGCTTCATGAAGAAATGAAGCGGAAGGAGCAAGGAAGTAAAGGTGATGAAGCTTCGCAAGGTCAAGCGTTCATCACAAGGGACAATCAGCGCAAAGGGCGACCAGTGAAGAAGTCCTGGCCGTGCCACAATTGCGGAAAGATTGGTCACTGGATGGCGGAGTGCCCCTCGCGCATCCAAGAAAACACGGAGAGACACCGGCCACAGCGTGCTCAAGACAGCGGCGACCGCTATCGATCACAACGTGCAAACGTCGCTCAAGAAGAAGACTCGGGCGACTACCTCTTTCGATCGGTGAAACGACATCTGCGAAATCGAGCGACATCTGGCTGGTCGACTCCGGGGCGACGCAGCACATGACGTGCTCCAAGAAGTTCATGCGGAACTACAAGGGGTTTGACGCTGTGGATGTCCATCTCGCGGATGATGGAATCGTCCAAGCAATCGGCAGTGGGGACATTGTCATGTCGATGAAGACACCCCAAGGGATGAAGAAAGGTGTGCTCACAAACGTGTGGCACATCCCAAAGTTATCCAGAAACCTGTTCTCGGTCGGCCGCTTCACCAAGGATGTCGGCCCAGTGACGTTCACGAAGGATGGGTGCTATGGAGAAGCGAAAGGGACCAAGTGGAAAATTGGTGCCCGTGAAGGTAAAGCACTGTTCAAGCTGCAAATGACTCCAGTGTGATGAACTTTAGACTTCTTGGTCCGAGTGCAAAACGCAAAGTAAATATATATTTATAATAGGTACTTAGTTCGCAACTTTGAATACTACCTCTAAGCCTATTATTCGCAGTGACGTCATCCAGTGACGTCACCCACTGACGTCACCCACTGACGTCATGCAATGACGTCATCCAGTGACGTCATTTCCTGACTTCGCCCTTACTGGTACATACCGGTACCCACCGGTATAGCGAAGCTTGGTCTTCCACTTGCTTCAACACTTGACGCAGCTTGACGAGGTGTCTTCTTCACAGCTGCTGTCTTTTCAACACTCCCTCTCGACTCGTTAGCTGCGGCACCTTGGATCCCAAGTCGATCGCGAATGTTTTCAAATTGTACAGCGGCGATCGGCTTGGTCATCATGTCTGCCAGCATATCTTGAGTCGGGCAATACTCCAAAACGACTTCACCTGATTCCACCTTCTCACGCACAAAATGGTAGCGTATGTCGATGTGTTTTGTTCTCTTATGGAACTCCGGGTTCTTGGCGAGAGCGATTGATCCTTGGTTGTCTTCATACATCTTGATCGCTTCGTCGCTTGTCATCTCACCAAGTTCCCCCAAAAGCACTTTGAGCCATACTGCTTCTTTGGTTGCTTCGGAAAGCGCCATGTATTCTGCTTCTGTTGAAGATAGCGCGACCGTCCGTTGTTTCTGGCTTTTCCAGCTGATGCATCCTCCGCTCATCATGAACACATAGCCGCTTGTACTTCGTCTTGACTCAATGTCGCCGGCCCAGTCTGCGTCGGTGTACCCGCAGATACGGCTTCCTTCTTGACGTGTAAACTCAAGACCATGGTTGGGCGTTGCTTGCAGGTATTTCAGCACACGCTTCAAAGCTTGCCAAGTGAGTCGGGGCATGGGTCGGACGAGAACTGGGATAATGATCCCACTGCAGCAGCTAGATCCGGACGTGTGGCGACCATGAGATACATGATGCCTCCGACAGCACTTCGATATGGCACGTTGCACATGGTGTCTTCGTGCTTGCATTCTTGTTCACACATGTTCTTGGTTAGCTTCAGGCCGGGATCTTGAGGCGTCTTCACTGGCTTGCTGTTATCCATTCCGAACTTGGTTAACACGGACTTGAGAAACTTGGTTTGTTGCACAGTCACCATTCCCGTCTTACGGTCGTTCTTGATCTCCATGCCGAGAAAGTAATCGAGCTCACCGAGATCCGTCATTTCGAAGCGTTTGCTCAGCGCCATCTTGGTCGACTTGAGGAGTTCGTTGTTGCTGCTGGCCAGGATGAGATCATCGACGTAGAGCACCACGAGAATCATGTCTTGGTCGTCTCGCTTGATGTAGATGCAGTGGTCCGATTCGCACTTCTTGAATCCCATCTTGATCATGAACCCATCGATTGTTTGGTTCCACATGCGAGGCGATTGCTTCAAGCCGTAGAGTGATCTCTTTAGCTTGCACACATAGTCCGGCTGTGTTGCATCCAGGTATCCGTCCGGCTGGTCCATGTAGATGTCTTCGTTGAGGGAGCCGTTAAGAAACGCTGTCTTGACGTCCATCTGATGTAGCATTAGGCCGTACTTAGCCGCCATACTGAGCACCACACGAATCGATGTGAACTTGGCCACCGGTGCGAAAGTTTCTTCATAGTCAACTCCGAATTTCTGTGAGAATCCTTTGGCCACAAGTCTTGCCTTGAAACGTTCAACTTCGCCATCTTGATTCTCCTTTACACGAAAAACCCATCGGCACCCGATGGCCTTGCGACCTTTCGGAAGAGGCACGATTTCCCACGTGTCGTTTCTCTGAAGCGAGTCGAACTCCGAGTCACACGCTTCTTTCCACTTGCCGGAGTCGCTTGATTCCATCGCCGACTTGAATGTAGTCGGCGTTTCCCCCACTGAATCAACGATGTAGGCTGCTTCAAAATCCATTGCAGCCGCTGACACATGCTCAAGCGACGGACATCTGTACGTTCTTCGCTTGGGACTTGGAATGACGGTAGCTTTCTCAAGTGATTGAGTGCGCGTGTGTCTCTTGATGTTGCTCTTCGAAGACCTGGTGTCTTCGTTGTCATCGTCGCTCGAGTCCATGTCGTCGTCAGTTTTACCTTCTTCTTTTCTTCGTCCTCATCATGATCATCAAACTCAACGACACTTGACTCATCGTTGTAGTTGCGCGGACCTTCATCAAACTTGTCTTCCATGAATGTGGCATCGCGACTGATCTTGATCGCTCCTGTTGACACTTCCTCAAATCGATATGACTTCTGGTGTTCGGCGTATCCCAGGAAACGACAGAGTGATGACTTGAGTCGAACTTCGCGCGTTTGTCTTGAGGCACTTGAACATACGCGTGGCATCCAAACACTTTAAGGTTGGCCAGAATCGGTTTCTTCATCGTCCACACTTGATATGGAGACTTGTCTTGGTGAATGGCACGTGTTGGACAGCGGTTTCGAAGAAACATCGCCGTCATCACTGCTTCACCCCAGTAGCTCTTTCCCAGTCCAGCGTGTTCCATCATGCAACGCGCACACTCGACCAGCGTGCGATTCATTCTCTCAGCTACTCCGTTTAGCTGAGGAGTATATGGGGGTGTGAACCTTTGTTGTATTCCCCGTTCCGCGCAGAATCGTGCCAGCTTGTCGGACTTGTATTCACCCGCATTGTCGCTTTGAAGGTACTTCACGCGCTTTCCGGTT